AAAAAAAAGAATTCTAAATCCTAAAATTAATTCATCTTGTAACAAATTATTTGGACTGTCTATTTTCAAAATTTTAAATTATTTATAAATATGCTCAATCGGTATCATTTTTAAAATTTTAAATTTTATAATTAGAATTAAACGTAGATTTTCAAACCATCGTAAGATTTCCAACTCTGCCGGAACTATATTTTTTAGCAAAAGTTAGAAGTATATCTTACTCGTACAATATAAGGTACACACCTTATACAAACCTCACCCTCTAGATAATATTGCAGTTTGACTAGGAATGTGAAGAGTGATTATTTTAAAAAAACAAACATGAGAAGTGAAACCAGAATGCAATGAGAGGAGCATATTTTCTTAAAACAGACATTGGAAGTGACAAATAACTATATATAAATATATATACTTGTCTACGGAACTAGAGTTTGGTCTGTTTGGGCCAAGATTTTAAAATGATATTATTCTTCAAAAAAAGTTACTTATCATCCAAAAGCTCTTAGATTTTTTGTTACCATAGTCTATATTTTGGGGAAATTTTATCAAAATATACTTGATTTATTAATTATTTAATATTTTAACCTTTTACAACTTTTCCAAGTCATATTGTGTTTATTTTGATGAGTATTTTGAAATTAAATAAAAAAAATATGTAAAATGCTAAATAGTTCATCACTTCAGGTGTATTTTATAATAAAGGGAAATGACCTTGTGAGACCTTTCACAGCCATATGTGTAAGACCTCAAAGGATCACCATTAAATTTGGCACATATCTCTAAAAAAATCAAGTCTCACACCCATGTGATAACTTTTTTAGATATCTGTGCCAAATTTAATAATGATCCTTTGAAATCTTACACGCATGGGTGTCGGTGGGTCTCATATGATCATTACTCTTTAATAAATTCTACTTCTTTCTTTTTTTGCAAACAAAAAGAAGCTAGGTAAGCTTCTTTTGGCTTTTAGGACAAACTTCAAGGGCTCCTCTAATCACGGAAACTAACATATCTACTACTGAGACAAATTTCCTACTCGATAAATCCTCTATTTGTTGAAGCATGTACCTTAAAAATTGCCCACACTCTCCATATATATATAAACATCATCATCGTTGTTATCATCTTCCAATCCTTATCTTTAGGGTTGGCTCTGCATGGACATAAACATATCCATAAAATGTTCAATATCAACAACAAATATGGCTATTTACTATAGTACATAATTTGATAAAATCTCTTATATTTTCCCATTAAATTTGAAAGAACAAATAAAATAAATAAATTAAAATTATCAATGCATTAAAAAATTAATTTTTTTAAAAAAATATGATAGTGACACTTCGGGAAAAAGGAAAAACATGCGTTTCATGCCCAAGTCCAAGGTTACAATGGCAAGTAATTTTCAAAAACCCAACTCACATTCTTCTTTCCTCTTTTTACTTTGTTCTTTCAACATTCAACCCAACCAAAAACCAACCACAATTGTGACCGGACCACCCCGTTGCTTAGCACTAACTCCATGGTTAAGGTTGGCACAACTGTAACTAGGTAAACCACCAAACTCCATTAATTACCACAAAAATGTATTAATTTGGAAAATAGCATTTGCATTTGAAATAAAAAACCCAATATTATTCTATAAAACTATACTAGGTGGTGAATAGATACAGGGATTGTATACTATAAGACCATTCATTATTTGTGCAAGGAGGTCGCAATTGTTCTTTGCCATTGAATGTGAAATAAGACGGATTAAAAAGTTCCCCAACATTTGAAAAATTTTATTTTGAACGTTGTGCTCGGTCAATGGCATGTCCTCAGTGATTCGATTTCACATCTAATGGTCAATAATTATTATCATTTTCTTGTACTAAAAAAAATGTAATTAGTCTTGTTACATATACGTCTATGGACGTAAAGAGCTTAAATGAAGTCTTTTAATACATATGACTCTCCAAATTTTGATGAGCGAGAGAGAGAGAGATACTCGACCATGCCAAATATGAAATAAAGTTAGGCCATGTGGCCCATGTTACGCTCCCACCCTAAGCTCCCAGAACAACAGAAAATTCTCAAAAAAGTCTTCTTATAGTGGTTCACATTTGCAAATGTAGATTTATCAAAACACCCTAATATCAAATATTTATTTACTTATAAAAACACACTTAAAATATCAAATACTTTAATTCATGATAATTTGTTATTTTTTTAACCAAATCGTGATTTATGTGTTAGATTTTTTAAATTAAATCAAAATAATTGGGTGAGACTGTTAAATATTTTATCTCGTAGGTGTTTTTATGTTTTAGGAATAATTTGGAAAGTGACTAATCACAGTGAGAACCGAAAATGAAAAAAATGGAGGATAAAAAAAAAAAGAGGAGAAAAGAAGAATAAAAATCGTATTTACCCCGAATCTGCTAAAAAAAATCGCTGTCCGAATATCATAGTCAAAAGAATTAATGTCTGAAAACACCAGCAAAAATTTTCTTACCTAGTTCTTTAAAAACTCGAAATTCGACTGCTGTTCGTGAAAATACTTATCTGGAATTTCTAAAGTGGATACCAAATTTTGAGATCATTTGTTGAGGGAATAATATGATATATGGTATCAATTATTGTGGGCTCTTTTATATTTATTTACTTAAAGGTAAAAGTTTATATAGAGCTGAAGCTCTAAACAATCAAATAAGAGCCTACCTCAAAAATTTCACTAGAAGAGGTTGTTTTGATGCCCAAATATCTTCAAATTGATCATTTCGACATCAAGATGCATAGACACGAGAGAAAAATATATTTCAAGTTTTGAAAATAGTATATTTTGTAATGCATTTTTGGGCCGTCAATTTTGAAGATTTTCAAGTTCTCATACATCTGTTGATCTACACTATTTTTAAAGCTTTAAACTTTATAAAAAAAATATGAAAATACATTTTAAGACTATCACATAGATTTTCAGTATTGAAACCACATTTCTCGAAACTATTTGAAGGTAGGCTCTAATTTGACAAACCACACCCCTACTTAAATGCTTGCTTAATGTGCAATGTAATATGCTTGGCGATGTAATTATATCATTGAGAACATTTTTCTAGAGATATGCTTAGAGTGGCATTATGCCAACGAATTCTCGAAGTGGTACATAATACATATTTTTCCTACATATTTTTCCTATGTTTAAAAGCTGAATTACATAAGATTTAAGGTTTATTTAACCCATAATTCTCTATTTGACATGTGTAAGTGTGCAAGGTAATTATTTTGGAATCCTGGTACGGTCTCTCTCGAGATGACTAACTGGTCTCACTCTCCGATCACACAACTAAATAAGATATCAATCACTAGTCAAATTACTAATCTCTACCCATGCAAAAAAGGAATTTTTCGAGTTTGGTATGAGCCCGATCGATTGGTGAGACTGCCGACTAATGTTGTGGGCAGTCTTATAGGTTATATAGGGATAAAAGCTTTTGATATATTTTATATTTAAAATTATTTTTATTATTTAAAAAAAAATTCTAACGAAATCGACCAGCAATTTGACCAGTACCCCTAGATAGTTAAGTGGTTCCCATCCTTGCAATACTCTTAATTACAGGATGGTGATTTGGTAGTCTGTCAACATATGACTATTTTTTATTACTATGCCTTTCACTTTCTTCTGTGTAGGGGCACTCCTCGTATGTTTTCACCTGAAAAAGCTCCTTCATGTTATTAGGTATGGGGATTTTTTTACTTCAAATCCACGGGACTTTAGCCGGTTTCGAGTATCCGATAAACTGGCTTGTTCAATCAACTTAATTGAGTAAGTTTTGGACTGTCCAAAAAAGTGTTAAAAAAGTAAAAGAAAATTAAAAAATATGGAAGGTATAATTAATGAAAATAATATATTAAAAAAAAAAATCAATTTGCATCCTAGGGATTTTTGAAAATTTTCAAAAAAAAGAAATGTAAAAATAAGTGTTCATGGCCAAAAAACCACGTTATAAATCCCTTATTTTTTGGGGATTATATACACATATTTATGAGCAATGATCCGATGCAACGGTCGTATCATAGTATAATGCAATGACACTTCTAGAAAACTATATTTGTGGTATTTGTATGGCCTCAAATTTTACACACACACTCTCTTCATCTCAATAATCAATCCCCTAAAAAAACAGTTCAATTTGAACTCTAGATATCGTCAAAATGAGTCCTATCTAAAAACGAATCTAAACCATTCATTTTGTGAATTTCAAGATGTTAGCCTTTATAAAGTCAAAATCATTTTTTTCTTTTTTAAACATTGTTCATCTGATGATAATAAAGTCATCCAAAAAAATTGGAAATGAAAAAATCCTTCTAAATTGAGCGGTCTATATTAATTGGGCTAAAAAAATACTTTATAGGTTGTGTTTTTAATTTGTTTCTTTTTTTGTGATTGTTCATGAGAATGAAAAGAGTGTATATTTCAAAATTTGGATCAAACAAATGGCCATAAGATGGTTTTTTAAAGTTGTTGCATCATATTACTATACAACGGTTATATGAAATAACTTGATGAACTACCAAAGCCAGATCGGTTAATGCTCGATTCCAATTTGACTGGCCGGTTCTGAGTTGAAACAACCAAAATTTGACAACACTAGCCAGGACCAATTGGCATGAAAAAACACCCGCATCTTATTATATATAGGAAAAAGCTTATATAGAGCCAAGGCTCTAAACAATCAAATTATAGCCCACCTCAAAAATTTCGGTTGTTTTGAAGTTCAAATCTTAACGTCAAGATGTATGGACATGAGAAAAAAAAAAAGGGGTTCAAGTTTTAAAAGTAGTGCATCTATTTTTTGGACCATTAATTTTCAAGTTTCCATAGATCCATTCGATCTACACTATTTTTAAAGCTTCAAATAAATATTATAAATAAAGATGACAAATTACGTTGGATGTACACTATTTGTAAAGCTTTAAATATTATAAATAAAGATGACAATTTATTTTGAGGGTATGAGAAAGTATTGGAGTACATGTGCGGAAGGTGCGGTTTGGTTCGATTGTGGAGGGCCTCAGAACCATACAAAGCGCACCGTCGCTGTTCTCTCTCCTCACGAGTATTTTGGAATGTAATAAGTGGGAGGAGTGAATTGTAGCTTCCTGCTTCCCTCTCTGTCTCTCTCTCTCCCCTCGGTTTGCACTCTCTCTTACCTACCATAACTCCAAAATTACTAACCAGTACTTGAACAAAATTCGACCTCCGCCCTTCTCTCTCTATCTCTACCTCTACCTCTACCTCTACCTCTACATGGGCGATGGCCTCTCCCCCTCTTCCTCTTCCTTCCTCCTCCGACTTCGAGTTCACCGTCTCTCTCTCCCCTACCTCCCCCATCACCTCCCGCTTCTGCCCAGCCGATGAGCTCTTCTTCAAAGGCCAACTCCTCCCTCTCCACCTCCCTCCTCGCCTCTTAATGCTCCACTCTCTTTCTCTCTCTACAAGCCCACCCAACCAGGCCACCTCAAATTCATCCGATACTGATTCCAATAGCCTCTGGAGCAAATCCTCTGATTCTTCCAGCTCTCGACACTCCAATGGAAGCTCTCAAGACTCTCTCTCTTCCCCCCGCCCATAGCACCTCCCTCTCTCTCTCTGCTCGATCCAGCAACGCCACTGAGGAAGATGGCAGAGCCGCTCGCCTCTCTCTCTCTCTCTCCTCTCTCAAGAAGCTCAAAACTCGCTTCTCCTCTGTTTTTCGGGCGAAACCCGAAAAGCCCACCAAACCAAAGTCCCCCATTGATGTCATCCAGAGGTACCTCAGAAAAGTGAAGCCCCTCTGCGAGAGGATCTCGCAGAAACAGAGGGTGAGAGAGAGGAGCGAGAAAGAAGAGAGGGATTCGGGGTTCGAGAGTTGCAGAAGGTATTCGATTTCTTTCTCTGGAAACTTGGGGTATTCGGAGATGGGAAGAAGGAGAAGGAGAGCGAGCGGGCTCTCTTATTCATTTGGAAGTTGCCCTTCTTCGATGAGGTCTTCTCCTACTCACAGTGGCCTTCTCGGTAGATCGTCATGTCCTGTTTCTCACTCTTCTCTTGATAGTAGCATGGAGGAGTTGCAGAGCGCCATTCAAGGTGCCATTAATCACTGTAAGAGGACACAGGAAGTTAAGATCTGAGCTTTAATGGTGCAAATTTCACGGAGAAGTAACTTGGGTTTTGAGGGGAGAGAGAAGTGGGTTGAAGGTTTTTCTGGTGCTTGAAGCTGCGTTGGTTGGCCTCTGTAATGAAACAACCATTACTGTTTAGAGAGAGAAAAATAAAGCTATGAATTTTTTTTTCCTTTCCATGTCTGTAATTTGTGTAAAAGATTAATTCTCAATGTTGGGTTCTGGTGCATGGATGACAGGAGGTAAACCTCTCTCTCTCTCATATTTCTTTTTTTCTTTCAAATTTTCTCCTTGGATACGGTTATTTTGCTCCCTCTCTCTCATTTTCTTTCAAATTGTTTTCATGGTTATGTTTATTTTGATTTTGGATGATCAGTGTGGATAACTGGGAGAAGAACACCTCTCTCTCTCTCTCTCTCTAG